TTCAAAAGTACCGGTTTGGCACCGGTATCGGATAAAACCTAAACGATACCCATCCCTACTTATATATGTAATCATAACACATAAGAAATGTTTGTTGTAGCCTTGAAGAGGCTGGCATCATTTTCTAAAGCATATATCAGTTAAATGATTTAATGAGACGAGAGGAAAGTCCAACCTCCATCTCTGAAGACTTGAATTTTAGGTTTTACAGATTTTTCTACTTTCTCTGTTCTCCACCTAGAAATTGAAGAGATCCATAATGCAAGAAAACATTTAGATGTAATTTTTTTTAATTTGCCGCATATCCCAAGTCTAACTGGAATAGATATATTTGTGAATTCTAAGTTTTATCCCAGTTCTTGGTCCCTTACAAGTCCTCCAGTGCACCCACACACACAATAACAGACGCTGACTCCAGCCTTCCTGAATACGTATGAGCTTATTCTAAATTCAGTCCACAATCTCCTCCGTACAGGCCCCTCCATGCTCGTCCATGTGATCTCCATCCATCCGCTCCGCCTCGCAAACATTCCTCGGAAGGTGCAACGTCTGAATAATTCATGTCGGGTAGTCTTCTCCATTGTCACAATGTGATCTTTGCTCATTTCAATTACAGTGTCAGAGGAAATCTGACAAAGAATGACAAGCAATTATCTCCAAGCACAGTATTTGCGCCGAGTCTCGAGGACGCCCGTGCTCTCTGTCCTCCACATATTTTTTCCCTTTGTGATAATTTATTATGTGTTTGTGAGTATGGCGTTACCTGCTTCTCTGGAGTCGGGCGTCGCGCCTGACCAGCGGCGTGTGATGTCTATGTAGAGGATGTCCACTGAAGCCATTGTGAAGTTGCTGCCACTCAGTTTACAAGTCCTAAAAAATATTACAGGAAATCTAAAATAAGCTCCATAATGCAAGGCCTAAGCTTACAAACACATCGTGTGGTTGCTCTGAAACCTGTAGAAAGCATTCAACATTCATGCTTCCTTTAAATAAATGAAGGGAGATTCAAAGACCACAACCGCTGAATATTAGATTCCAGGCTTGCTCCTTAGATATGGGAAAATATTGATCTCAAATTTATTTATATA